CAGTTGGAGTGACAAGTGTAAATGGGGCCAATGGTTTTAAACCTCAGACAAGTCATCCTATAGCATTACTACTTAACCAGCATCCAGCAGACTACAGCGTCTGGGTCAGGAGGCCGTGAGAACACGGCGCTCTTCAGCTTTCAGTGGACCTCCGCAGGAATTCTTCAGTAAGTGGAAAACAACTATACAAACTTGTGCGATAGACGATCTTTTGCTCTGCAATATTGCTCACACGCAGCCAAACATATCCTCTGCTCCCCAAATCCCTGGCTGAATTACCAACAGTCACCATCTTTAGTTTGGGAGAGGGACAGGACAGAAAGTCAGAGTCACTTTACCACACACAGAATAACTCCGGCCAACGAACAAATCAATGCGACAACACCTGCGCTGCTGCTTCAGCGTTGCTTCCACGTACGCTCTTACAGTAGGCCGAGGTTATTTTGATTGGATCTAAAACTATTCCTTTGAAGCCCCGAATAACTCGGGTGTACTGAGGTGACAGTCCATAGCTTTGTGGCGGTCCCACCATAAAATGGCTGCGATCAAATAGATATGGGAGATAGACATCAAAGGTCACAAATAAACCCCGTCGAAGGGTGACAACTCTCCACAAGTGCAGACCGCACTTGACCATTCTCCTTTTTTTTAGAGGGAGGACAAATCTCACCTTGAGTTTTGGCCGGAGAGGCAGCCTTTGTTAATTTTTAATGCATTTTGAAACTAGTAATTAAGTCCCCCCCCCCCCCAATGGACTGGGAAATTGACATGCTCTGGAGAGCCAGTGAGTAATTATATTTGTAAAGAGCAGTGATACAAGATACTCCCCTCTGACTGGGACTCATTACACATCATTAGAGAGGCGCGGCAACTAGGCACACGCACGTGCATGCGCCTCACACGCACATATGCGGGTGGTTGAAAAGTCACACACTTTGAGACAGACACACGATGTCTCTTTCTCTCTCACACACACACATACAGATCAATGAGCAGAAATCCAAACACTGTTGCTCTTTGGTAAAACAAACTCTGCTCCTCAGGTCCACTGACCCGGCAGAGTGTGACAAGTCCTGACAGGGCAGTGAACAACTCTTCACATCTCATGTGGTGATAATCATACTGCAGTGGGTCAATTAGTAATTAAAGATAAAATTTAAAACGAATTCTCATTCATCCAAATAGTTAAAGGTTCAGATATGAAACTTTCCAAATGGTGCCTCAGGAGAACTGTGGTCCACCCTTTGAAGCAATAATTACCATTACAGCAGCGTAGGGCTAAAAGCTGCAGGGGGATGATAGAACTGGAAACTTCGTGGACTGCTCTTTAATTGGAACTGTGAGTGGCCGAGGGTCTCCGAATACAATTTGTCTCCACCATGTTACCTCTTCTTTCTACAGTATTTCTCCTCGCTCTCTTTTTTTTCTCTCTTTGCTAGTGTTTGAGTTTCACTGTACAACGTGAAGCCGCCCATGCACGTATTATAACGCTGAAAATATAGACCAGATCCACTGCGGCCTGTCTTTTGGAAAGCACCAAACAAATGCTAAATCTATATTTCACAACACACTGAGCACCATCTTTTAATAACTTTGCTCCATTTTAGTGAAAGGTTGAAAAAAGCACCGCAACGCTGGAAATAATGTTGCTACAAAATATGATTGAATATTTAGATTGAAAGTGGAAATGAATGCAATAGATATATAAAACATTCGTCACGGACATTTACCAATGTTTCGGTTCGGTCCGATTTGTTGAAGTTTGCTGGAGAAAATGTTTTTGTTCTTCGTATTAAAAAACAGCTTTCAGAGATTTGCTAGTGAAGGCTGCTGTTGCGTAATAGTTCTGAGCCTATTGTTTCTGTGAGTTACTATTCAGATTGTTGTGTGTATTTCAAACTAAGGTATTTAATGCATTATTAATGCCATATTCAGATTGCCCAGGGATGGTGGGAGAGCTGCATTAGTGTCAGAAAGCGTAGCTTGTTGCCTTGTCTGCTCTCCCTTTAAACTCATTATCTTGTCTAATTCTCTCAGCCTTCATTATTCCCTCATCCCTTTAAGCAGCCTAATTAAAAGAGCTTTCATTTTTTCATTAATATTTATTTATTTATTCTGCATTTCTACATGGAACTGCATCACCCAGTGTGGAATCTAAATGACTGACTTTTCTTTTCTTGCACAGTACTTGAGCTGAAGCCACAGAAGTACAAACTGGAGTATTTGTTCTCATCTAGCCGTCAGATGACCTGATGTTACACTCCGTGTGCAGTGGCTAATGCACAAAACGCTAATCTGCTCCACTTAATGCTGTCTAGACTAGATTAACGCTGAAAGTGTTAGTGGCACCCATATTCAATAAGAAACTGCAAACAAGAATAAAATAAAAGACATGTAATTACAATTTGTTATGTTCTGAGTATTGCAATTCACACTTTATGACTGCAAGTCTTCAGACAGCTGAACATTAATTGGCCCATCATGGTCTGATTTCTCTCTGGCCTTGGTTTTATTTGGTTTATACGAGTGATCTGTAATAACAGTTTAAAGCCGTACCATGGGGAGATTATCAGTCCATGCTTCAGCGGTGGACATTATCGTTCAGCTACATGCATCGCTTCTTCTCTGCTCATGTCTCAGAATGGCTGCTGGGGAGCTTTACCAAGAGAGCCGCTTTGTGAACTGTACAAATGTGTATGTCTGTGCATGGTTCTGAAAAAAAAAAGAAAACGCAACTGCATGCGTGTGTGGGTGTGTGTGCAGATTGTTTTTGCTTGTGTCTCACACACATGCTCGTGTGTGAGCATGCACATGCTCAGAGCACTCGTATGTGGCGTTCGAGGGTGTGTGTGCATGCATGTAGAATGACATTTAGTGAAATGTGGCAGCGAGAGAAGAAACATCTGACTCATAATTGAAGTGCCATGAAAGAAATATGATCATGAATCTGTGTTTGGTTTACGTGCTCGGCTTTAAACCCAGCAGCAGTGGCGGCACGAGGTAGCGCGCTCAGCCAGTACTCCGACTACCTTACCACCCCGAAGGCTGATTACAATGCTCAAAGCGATACTGCAACAAAAATGACAGGAAATGAGGAAAACACTGCACATTCAAGGCGAGCAATCCTGATGACAAAATCGATAGGCCGCAGCGCTCTCATCTCCATCAAAAAGAGAGTCTCAGGATGAATGAAGCTGTGCCTGCGTGAGTCAACAACACCAGTCATCTCAATGTCCTGAAGGGTAAGAAGGCATCTCTCCTCAGTCACCCTCTTGCTCTCAACATGTGGAGCAGCAAGGCTCTGCTCCTTTAAGGATAAGGCTGGTCATATTCAATATTTTTCTTGTTGTCACCAAATGCCACGAAAAGACCAATGTCAACAACGAACTGATCCTAACAACGAGCATGTGCTGCCGCCGTCTGATATAGCTCAGTGGTCCCGATCCTTTAAGACAATGTTTAGTGATGGCACGGATTGTTTATTTCATACATTTTAGAGGTCTGAAAAAGTAAATCTACCCAACGTATAACAAGAAAAATAAGAGACCGGAAAAAATGTAACACACATCTTTATGTAGCAGACACTTCTCTTCTTCTTTCCCATCTTGCTAATCATCCTGTGACCTTTGATTGAGCCACCTCTTATGGGGCTCCGACCCTCAGGTTAGGAGAGACTAACTGACCATGGACACTGTCGTGTGTTTGAGTCAATGCTGCATACAGCCGTCCTCCTGCTGTTGACACTCGTTAGCACACTAGTGAATACAAAAGCGATACAATGTAACTTTTAAATAAAGAGGAAATAGCACATTCTTTCTCTTACAAATAAAATACAACCTATTATATGTAATAAAAAACACTCTTCACTGCACTCAATTTACTCCTCTCAGGGTAGTGTACAGTGGTTCATGTTAGCTTGTCCTTGCAAACTTTAAATAGATAGTGCTTTATAGACAGTACAGAGTCTGTTCTCTACTGCTGCTCTTCTCAGCTAACCTGACGCGCCGGATGGTTTGTCACACAGAACCATCTGAGGAGCCGTCATTTAAAACGGTTTGGAAAAGGGCAGGCACTTTAAAAAAATACATGGCAGGTCCATCGGTTGAACCATCGGTCAATCAAACTCTTACCGAAGCGAGACGTGAGAAGAGCAAATTTGGGGAAAAGCCTTCAGTGCCGTTCTTTGCTCTTCTATTAATGAAGAAAAACTCCTCAGTCTGATATAACTGATGCTGTAACAGCATCTACGCTAAGCTATTCCAGAGCCAAACACGTCCAAATCTAAGGCAATATTCTCCACAAATGCAGACAACAACTCGGGGAAATTCTATCTTCTATCCAAAGTGTTTGTACTCAGAACACAACCTAAACCTCTAAATGAAAATCAAGAGATGGATGGAAAAGCTACAAAGCTTGGGTATAGTGTGCTAACAAACTCCATTTTGTGTTGCTGCAGCTGTTTCCATGGAGCTCCCTCTCCTTCTCTTTCGCTCTCTCTCTTTCTCTGCATCGCCACTCTTTTCTCACACTCTCTCTCACACACACACACAATCCTGAAAGAGGATTCAGCTGTGTGAGTCAATCTGCAACCAACTGCAACTCAGAGAGAGAACCCCTCGTTCTCTCTAACAGACTCTTCTCCTCTCTTCTATCTCACCAGCATCACGCCCATCTCATCATTTTTTTTTTTTCAAACTCATTACAATAATTTCTTAATTTATTCAAAACCCCAGTCACAACAACAAACCCACATTCAGCACACTCAATTACTGTGATTTTGATACACGAGCACCACATCAACAAGAAGCACAGGAACCGGTCAGTGTATTTACAGTGCTGTGTTTTTCCCTCGGCCTTATTTGGAGTGCATGTGGCAATCAGCAGCGCTCATTACACCTAGCTGCCCTATTAAGATGGCCCAGAAAAATGTCCTTGAAGGAGGAGCTGGAGTCAAAAAGAAAAAAAGAAAAAAAAGGAAATAGACAGGAAAAGATGCTTACCGAGGACGCCGACGCGGTAGTTGATAGTGATAACGATGACATTTCCGTAGCTGGCCAGGACGCTGCCATCGATCATGTTGCCCGTCCCCTCCATGTAGGATCCTCCGTGGATGTAGACCATCACAGGCTTGGCCCCGGTGTCTCGTATGTCTGCAAGAGCGGCCATCATTAACACATTCACATTGTGGTCCACCCACTCCGATCAAGGGGTCAGCTCAGATTCAGATACAGCAGTTACAGCGCATGGGGGGCCACAAACAGACAAGCTGACGGTCACCTCTCAGATACCAGCTGTGGGATGATACAGTCTGCTACTACCTGCTAATGGAAATGGAGGCAATATTATTTCATATCTGCTCTATGAGATACAAATTAATGTCCACTCATTATGTCGACTCAACTCTATTATAGTAATTGGCCATCTCAGCTGAAAATGTGGCTTGCATTTACAAGATAAAATATTTATCATAAACCAAACTATTAGGGCCGTATTTAGCTTTGTGTTGTCTTCCAGGAGGCGGACGCACTTTTCCAATATAGACACGCAGGAAGCCATTAGGGAGGATAAAGAGAGAGGTACTCTGACACATCTCCTAACCGGGGAGAAGGCTAATCTGGCTTGACAGTGAAAGGGGAAACGCACTGGCTAATTACACAATGCTATCACGTGCCTCCTTTTTTACACAAGCCTATCTCTGTGCAACAATTTATTTGCACGGTCTTGCTTGGCATTGCAGGCAGTTACATTTGTGCTTTAGTTTTGGTAAAATGTTGTTTATTCTATTCCCAAACCAGGGCTTGATACCCAGCTGGAGCAACACTCCAGCCAGATAAAGCACATCCAGAGGTAGCGGGAAGAAAAAAGCCTCTGTTTGAGGAATAGACTGAATTACTGGCTGGCTAGCTAGAGCTGGGAGACAAGACAAGAAACTCTCTCTCATTTTCACTCCTGCTCCCCCCGTGTTCTGTGTAGCTTCTCGCCTTCCCCTCCCTCACTTTGTATCGCTTTCACTCACAGACTCTCCCCTGTCTCTCCCTGTTTCTCTCCCGCCTTCCCTCCATCTCTGTCCAACTCCCTGCCTCTCTTCCTGTAAGCCCTGAGAGTGGTGAGAATGAGACGGGGTGGGAGGGCAAAGAGTGAGGAAGACAGAGCGAGCGAGAGAGAGAGAAAGAGAGAGAGAGAGAGAGAGAGAGAGAGAGACACACAAAGACAGACCAGAAGGAAGGAAGATAGAAAGAAAGGAAGGAAGAAAAATAAAAGGGGCAGAAAGGAATAAAGATATAAAACAGAAGGAGAGCAAATGGAAAAAAGAGAGAAAGAAATGGGCTCAGATTTAAAATGGTGGTATTGTATTCTGGTTGCTATGGTGACTGAGAGCCAAAATTCAAAATCCTCAAGAACAGCTAATCGCAGACCACATCCTGCACAGCCCAATCTGCATCCATCTGCAGGCACCGCTCGTCGTTATGCACCCCATCACATTAGCATGCCTAACACCGAGGACAACTGCTTAAATGCATTTAGTAGAGACACGGTTTGTCTGTAACCTCTATAGCAGAGCTCAGCCGTGATTCACAGGTTTTTGTGTTTTTTCTATTATTCCCTTGGTTATTCATGGCCCCGTTACGTTTAAAAGCAAAGCCATAACTTGCATATGATGTGGCCTTATTTATGGCTTTCTTTATCTTGCTGGTATCTGAGAGGGCTACACAGTGAAATGTGATTTACGGCTGACACTTCTCTATGCACACACTTATCTTCTACAAGAGGAGGAGGGGGATGCATGGGGTGAGAAAGCATGAGAGGTTCAGTCAGAGAGGGGAACAGGGGGGAAGAAAGGGAGAAAAACAGCGTATCCTACACAAGCTACTCAAACAAATGGACCACAGATACAAGGGGAATGGCGTAGAGGAAGACGGAGCAGGGGGCAGAAATAAGAAAAAGAGATTAGTCATGTCAATGTTATCAGTCACCTCTTTTGTTGATTCACATCAGGTCTCCATGACAACAGTTAAATCCCTTTGGGAGAGCGATACAAAACATCGGCGCTCCACTTGGTCTAATCTATTTATTGTTATGTGGGCGGCGTCACAGAGATGTAATATAGAGTTCCCACTGACTCTGATTTGTGTCAGAGAAAAACATACATGCAACAGATCCAAATTGGGCTTAAAGTGAGCAATAATAATCCTCTCTAGGTATACACCCACATGTGGGCAGCAGCACAGCATGATGTGGAGATAAGGAGGTGAGTAGCTCTCCTTAACCAATCAGATCAGAGCTTTTGTCGGCCGCCGCGGACGGCCTAATCTGGTGTAACAGGTGACTAAGTGGCTACCTCGAAACGCTGCCTCCTGATTCACTCACTTCTCCGAGGCAAACACATCATTACATCAACATAAGTATTCACAGCGTCAACATGTAGCACAGAGCTCTGTGCTAGGAGAGAAACAGTGATAGGTTCATTAATGCACACGGTAGTATATTTGCAATAAAATCACATGCACGGGTTGAAGATAATAACAAATTTAAAAAAAGACAAATAAACTCATGTTTTGGTGATGAACAAAGAAATCTGTGCGTGACAGAAATGCAGATGAAGCGGATGTGCAATGAGGAGTGAGCTGAACAGAAACAAAATTCACAATAACACATCATTCTCTCTCACATGTTTCGCTCAATCAGATCACGCAGCATCTGCTATACAGTGACATACACTCCGAGCAACATGTCATACGAACAGCGAATACTTGTATCACAGTAGAGGAAATACATATCAAAGTCCTCAGTTCACTGCACCAGCTAGAAGGGTTGGGCACATTCACACCTACAAATACATCACAGGGCATGAATTTTAACAGGACCCGAGGAGCACAACCTCTCACAGGTGCATCACAGTGGCTCTGGACTGATTGGAGTGTCAGTGGGAGGCATAACTCAGGCCTGAGCTGAGCCTCTAAGTGTTGCTGCTGCAAGTAAAACCCACCAGGAGGGCTGGGAACATTCGCTCCTTCCTCCATCATATTTTGTATCCGCTACTGTATCTCCACCTTTTTGTCCTTTGCCTCTCCCTCCATTGAAAACAGTCGGTCATACATCTGACATTAAGCGCCCCCCAGAAGCGGCCTTGACACTCCGGATCGGGACAGGACAAAGGCGAGTGTGGAGATAAGTGTCGGTGGCGTTCACTGTGTCAACACTTGGTGAAACATGATGGCTGTCAGCAGCTATCAGTGAGGTCTGAGGTTTTAGGGGGGTGGGGGGGAGCGGGTGACAATGTCCTGATGTGGCAGGACATGACATGCACCCTACTGTAGTGCTCTTGTCAGGCCAAGCTTCACGCTTCACTCATGACAAGTCCATTACTGGCCATGTTCACATTTAAGAAGTGCATTTCGTTTTAACGGGAGAGCTCCTTGCAAAACAGGCAGTGTAATTACACCGAATTATACAGCAGCTTGTGTCGCTGTACAAGTCACTGGCAGTATTCTGAATGTCACCGAATGTCTGCTTAATATTCCCTTTACGTTGAATCAAATGAGCTAGCGCGGTGTGGCCAGGCCTCGGAGGCTGCAGTGAAGGAACACACAGGAACACGTTTTCTATTTTGGACCTGCAGAAGACAGTGGAAGAAGACAATGGAAACAAAAATATGCTGTTGCATTGCTGTTGCTATTTTCAGCCAGCGGACTTTCAGAGCCTTCACATCCTCAGGAGTGATGGGATGGACATGAAAAGAGCACCTTATAGTGAGAGTATGTCAGACTGCGCAACACTTGACATTTCTGAGAACAACTGAGGTATGACACGCGTAAATAAAGAAAATCTCAACGTGGCTTTGGGTATATGAGAAGGAGACGTGTGTGTGTGAGGGTGTGCACGTCTGCTATGAATCTTGACATCGCTACAGTAAAAGTAATGGTAGGAATGACCTTTGTGTGAAGGTGACTTGCGGCTCCCTCGCTGGTGTGCTTGTGTGTTAAATATGATGTTGGCAACAGGGCAGACAGAGAGCAGTGTGTATGAGGATAGAGAGAAAAGAGAGGCAGGGATAGACGTCGGCTGAGTCAAATAAAAGGAAAGACGCGGTGAGAAGCCTTTTAGGCTATTAGCCAAAGCCCCCTACAGCTGGCCAGGATCTAGATGAGAGGACGGGGCTGTAGAGGTGCTGTCATCTCTAAGACTCACAAACAGCTGTTTACTCCTTGAGTGAACGAAGACTACCCCTTTAGTCTTTCAGGGAAGCCTGCTGGCGCTGGCGCACGCCACAAAAGCTGATGTTATACTGTGAAAGCCCACAGAAGGGTTGAGGACAGCACACCAATAAAGCCATTACAGAAGTGCACACAACACGAACCTCCGCAGACGTGCAGTGGCATTACATGAAAAGTGCCTCAGTGGACTAATCTTCACTCCTGTTCACTTCTCTAGATTCTTCAAAAAGCAGCAGTTTTTACATGATTTTGCCTTGCCAATTATTTTGTGCCACTGAAGAGTAAAGGACAAGTGGGAAAAAAAGAAAAGAAATTGATGACAGCAACAGTCTTGGGTCTCCCCATCCTTTGAAATGGCTCAAATGATGCCCTTGTGGATCAGCCATTAGCAGCAATGCTTATCTTGGGAAGAAGCTGAGCAGCAGCGTTCCAAATATCTCTGCATAAATGGGCTTCAAAGGGACATGATTCCTCAACCCTGCCACATCACAGAGAATAGGCTAGTGGCAGAATGGAGAGAATGGTGTGTGAATTGCCCCCACTGTCGATTCACCAGTCTCCAGCCTGCCTGAGCTGAGCTGAGGGCTTTGCTGGATGGGGATCCAGTCAGGCCTGTGCAATGGAATTAATGGTAATACCCAGGCAGGTGGAGCTCAGCTCTGCTCCCTGGCACAGCAGCAACGGAGAGGTTCTCCAGGGGTTGGGGTATGAGTGTGTGTGTGTGTGTGTGTTCTCTATTCAGTGCTTGCGTCTAAAGCTTGGAAGCAAGCATTGTTTATGTGTACGAGTGCGTGTGTGTGCGTGCGTGCTTCGCTGGTTTAAAGGATGCGGGTGTACATGCCTGAGTGTGTGTGCACGCTCACGCTGAGTGGAGGCATTCCTCCTGATTAGAGCTGGAGTCTCAAAGTGCCAAATGACAGACAGACATACACACATCTATTTTTCATCAGTGGGAGAGGGCCGAGGCTGCAGTGGTGCGAGACACTCTCGAGGTGGAGAAGGGACGGCTGCCTCTCTCTCTCTCTCTGCCTCACACTGGGCACAGTACCTCGGCACCACTGCCATGTTCCACCTGGGAGATTTAGCTCCTACACAGCCTGACTCACTCTATTTACATGCCCACCTTTATCTACCGACAGCAGGTAGGTGATTGAAAGCTTGCGCTCCTTTTTTTTTTCTTTTACAGTGTAATAACTGACTCGGTAAAATTGAGTCTGGATTGTGGGCCGATGTAAATCACAGCAACTTGGCCCACGCACTTGTGTTGCTGGAAGGAGTGTTGCGTAGAATTTGAATGCACTTTGGGGGTGCGGGGGGGGGGGGGTTTGACAGACAGGCGGACACACAAAGGGACAGATAGAAAGACACATGAAGAGACGGATAGACAGCATGGCTAAGAAGGACAGCCAGCGGACAGAGTGAGATACAGTATTAAAATAAAGGTAATTATATTCCCAGCTACAGTTAAGGTTTTTATTGGCTGTTCCACTGCCTTTTATTGTACATTTATACATTACTATTCAGTTACATAATATGTTACTTACATTTCTTTGGCGTTGTGCGAAATCCTTTATTGTTCCAATAAAACTTATTTGAATTTAAGAGGGTGTCTGGAGGGTTATAACAGGCAGGAGGGCGGCTCAAATATGGTGGAGGGAGGGAAGGAGGGAATTAGCCAAGGATAGACAGACTGCCAACTGAGACAGCATGGTAATGTTTGGATGAACAGACTGAGAGATGGAGGGGGTTAGACGGAGAAACGAGACAAGACAGCAGCTCTCTGGACAGAATGAGAATATGTGGATAAGAGGTGCATCAGCGAAGAGTGAGAGAGCGAGGGGGGGGGGGGTGGACTGCCTGGGCTCTGATTCGACTTGGCCTTTAGCTTGAATACAAATGTTTGATTGTTATTGGTTAGGCGTGCAGTACATTTACTGTAGACGAGGAGATTGCTATTACCCGCAACAATAGTAGTGTGAAAGACAGCTTACGAGGACGTTGTGAGGAGTGAAGTCTTTTTCCTCACAGAGGTAACAGTCCTCTTTGGGGGGAATTAGGGAGGGTGCCACTGAACACCGACTCCATGTGATGGGCCATGTCGCTTCAAAACCGACACGTTCACCAGAACATGGAAAATCTTCTGGATCATGTTTAGGGATTGATGGCCAACTCTGTCACACATGCATTAGTTACAGCACTCTGGCAGAGACTCTGGGACTGCTGGGACTGTATTGTGCTTCTACGGTGATGCTCCGTAAATAGCATTAGTTGCGCTCAGTAAAGAATAGACTTGTCACATTTTCAGTGAGGCTAGTCTTGCACAACAGCTTGGAGACCAAGCCACTGTGAGCGCACGCAAAGACTTGCCAGACAAAGGGATCCACACTTGTCAGCAATTTTGAACGGACTTAGGGCTACACACACACCGACGCATGCGGGCTTGCTTGAGGGAAGAAAAACATACACATGCGCGCGCAAGTGTACACAGAGTCAAGACAAAAACTGAAGGCAATTTGGCATCAGTTGCAACAGCTCGCCCTGGGCTTGAATGAAGAAACACCTGTGTGTCAAAGTGGTGCCATGGCAACGCTTCCCGTTCTGTGATCAAGGCCAGCGAGAGGCTTCTTTCTGAAAGAAGAGCCCACCGGCGACGAGGAAGGAGCTCCACTTCAAACCCTTAAACTTCTGGAAAGGAGCTGGGCCAGCCGGCCTCCAGTGGCTCTCAAACCGAACGCAGGACCCGCAGCAAGGCCGGCATTAGGTGAGCCAACATTCATGAGTGAAAGGATATATGGCAACTTGTGTGTGACGTGTCAGCTTCCCTGCCCAGTAGAAGGTCCATTATGCCCTAAACGCGCTACGATCCCAAACGGCTTCGCTCCAGACATGCAATCTTGCTCACCGAATATACATGTGATGTGCAGAAATCCAATCTGTCCATAACAAACAGAGTGCGCATCAATGGCTTTACATTGATACCCGACATCATGCTTGCATCACCTGCCCTACTGTGGCAAAGGAAGACAAGGGCGGGGCGATATCAAGGGGTTTGATTTAGATTCAGAGACTTAAGCCGTTTCTGTTGCAGCACAAGAATCGTCTCTCACTCTAATCTCGGCAGAGATCCACCCTGAGCCAGGAATATCCCAAGATAAATATGGAAAGTGAACAATGCGATTGCTGAGCAGCAACTTCCCATTTTCAACACCTCTCGCCTCTAATCCTCTCCAGCAGCACTCCTGAACTGCCGCTCCTCATCTAAATCTGCTGGCAGACCTGGTGAACAGCCTGATATTACACTGCTGCGTCTCTTTCCCTCTGCCATGAGAACTACAAAGACAGCTGCTGGCCTCACCTTAAGAAGGGGCTCTCACCGATGCCTCTGCCCTCATTGTCACAGTTGCTCCAGTCACTATGTGAGATATTAAAATGAGTCAATCTGGGTTTCGTTATCTCGACAGCTACTGGATCCCATCTGACTCCCAAGCCAAACATTCTACTCACTGATAGAATTGTGATGCTTCGACACAGGAGACTTCACATTCACTCACACAGTCAAACATTTGATCAAAGACGACATTGTTCTACAGAGTGCCATGTGACCGGAGTGCTTGATGATTGCATTTGCAATTAGAAAGAAAAATAAATTAAACAAAAAACATAAATGACAAGAAAACGGTGACATTTTTAGAAAGAAAATAATAAAATAAATCATGCACCATCTTTGTTCACCATGGAAAATACCTTCATCTTCATCACCGTCGTTATCCGATAAATCCTCGCCCTGTTTTTTTGCATGGGCCCCTGTTATTGAAGCAGGGAGAGACATAGAGAGGCACAGGGACATTCAAAATAGCACGTTTGGCAACACAGAAATGGGAAAAGAGGCAATTCAATACAAATCAGTATTTGAGACCACATGTGAGTGATATACAATGTTAATTCAAATACACATTTCCCATTAGAAAATTTGGCAGTGGACATGTCAAGGGCAATTTCTGTTAACACTTTCAGCACAAACAAAAAGAGAAAAATAAACGTTTTTATAATAATATATACAGATTAAAAAAAAGACTACACTGACTACAAATCCGTTATCACAATACACAAATCAAAACATAGAAGGTAACCTAAACATACCATAGCATAGTTGGAGTAGAGTCATACACCACTGGCAGTTTCAGAAACATTTTTTATTTTTTAGATTTATCCGGAAAGTTTGGGGAACAACACTACCAGCTTAAAAGCTTTTCTGAAATAATGAATAACTGACTTTTTGAGCAGGGTTTTGATGTGTTCAAATAAGATTCAACTGACCTTCTATTCTCTTTGGAATATGCACCTATCATGCATTTCTAACTTGGCCATCAAAAGGCAAAGAAAATGATAATGTGGGGATTGGCAAGTTAAAGAATATAAAAATCAGGATGCGGGAAACAGTTTTTAAAGTGAAAAAAAAAACATGTGCAGGATTGCAACTTCCCCGGAGGTGGTAGAGATTTCAATAAATCATAAGACTGCGTGTATTATGTATACTCAGTGATGTGTGCAGTCACTTCAGCTCGTCTCTTTGCCCAAATCAGTAGGTAATATGCTGTTGTCCTTGTGCTACATCTTGGTATGAAAATCTAGAACCCTAGCGCGCATGCACACCATGTACAGATATAGTGAACAAGTCCTATCTTGACCTACTGCTCACACAGTGCTATTCTAAACTGGTTGGTCTGATATCCATGTGTAATCATTTGTAATGCATTTACATTTGAATTGGAATTTAAAGAGATATGGTATTTTTGGAGAATTATCCAGTTTTGGCAGTACCCTGACCTTTCATCTAGCACCACTGTCAGTTCAGATTGTCCTCCTGAGCAATTATTGACACAGTAAATCCTAATATTTTTGTGACCTTGGACTTTTCCTCTGGTATAATCACCAGGCCACTATGAATACAAACTAATATCAAAATCTAATGGGCTGACTGTCAGGGGATTTACTGAAGCATTCATGATTTCCATAAGATGTCTAGCGTTTCCCAAAGTGCTGAAACAAACACCACCTCATCTCACATCATGTGGCTGTTGATTAAGCCGTCCTCTACAAACTATATTGATATCGGGACATGATGCATCAGGGATATTCATTGTCCCTAGGAGATGATGCGCAAACAGGGCAGTGTGGGGAAATCATTTTGGCCCATGATGCGCTCAGGCCCGAAGACTCTTTGAACGATCACGATGTCAAATGTTACATTTACTTTAATTCCTTAAAAGTCTTTAAAACTCTATTTCATTCATGTGGGCAAGCCAACCTGGCATAGGCACCAGTTAAACAGCTTATGTTTGAATGGATGCGCCTCTCTGTTTGAACACCTCATCCATTGTTAATTGAAAGATGCAATATATTGCATTATGTAACAGGCTGAGTGTCATGACATTTACTGAGTAAATTCAAGCTCTTTAAGTGGAGAGGCTTGAATTTGTTGACTCCACAGTCTGCGCGGTGACCTTGTTCAGTCTAATAAATGGGCATGATGAATAATGCAGTCTCTATGGGCAGCTGTGCGAGCTTTAGATAGACCAACATAATCATACGACTATGACAACTTCAAGCTACTACTTTGGCTGAAACAGGTTATTGGACATAATGTTGCAACAGCAAGTTGTGGAAGATGTTGTGGAAGGTTGTGCAGAAGCGGGCTTTAAATCTGTATTCGCCATTGGGAAGGGGAAGGTGAACGGCTTGCCAGGTGTGAGAATGTAATCAAAACGTATAATTCGTTAACAACATACAATATTAAAGAATTTGGCAATCAAGCCAAAAAATGGTAGGAGTCCATCATGTTGATATTAGTATTTGAGTTGATGGGGGGGGGGGGTCGTTACTGGTAGCAGACTGGATTTTACAACTCTGGACTTTTTAATCTTTCATCAGAGAATGGACAGAAATATGGCGTCCACTTTACAAAGGGATCTACAAGGAATGTACACTTGCAGGAATTTAATGGGCCAACGCAGCGCCTTTACGAATAACGAATAAAAGCCAGCGTTTACTACCGAAGCCCTCTGCATTTGACACCACTGCCAACACAGTGATGTCATTGAAGTGATAAGGCGGCTGTGTTGTTTCACAAAGTGTCAGTCTAAAAATGGCCTCAGTCTCAGAGTTATAGCGCTTTAAAGCCGGAAGAATTTCAGAGCAGCAACAGGTCAGACAAGTGCAGGGAGTGACTGCCATTAAAAGGCAGAACCAGCTGGATTTTCCTAAAAACAATGTATCGACTCATACAAAAATAATCCCTCTCATTCATCACTTATGAAGTGTGTGGCGGTGTCTGTATCTGCAGGGACCCTGCCCTCTGCCTGTGCTTTCTTATTGTGCTTCTGTTTAGGTCGTTTCTGGGCATCAACCTCTATAAAAATGTAGCGACCTCGTGCCAGATTGTAAGCAGCGCACGGCAGACACAGCGGCGATAAAACAAATGAACAAATATAGCAAGGCAAAACGCCAAGCGGGGGAAAAAAAAAGGCTTGTTCCAAAAGAAAAGAATGACTCTGGGGTCAGCTGCAGGCGACAAATCCTACTCATTCTGCCTAAAAGCTATCAGGTGTCATGTCTCTCTCATGTGGGCTTCAAGGGAACCTCCAAAAAATGGTTTAGCAGAATAACAGCCAGCACCCTAACAAAGATGCCTCACCTGCTGAAGCAGGCTTCTATATGGCTGGTTAGTGATTACGGTTATTCTAGCGTTCGCTGTGCCGTTGACATGGCAGAACAGTGGTGGTATCGAGCGCTTTAGACAGGCATAGATTGGATGGCAGGTGTCGACGGGGAAGCTCCGTCACTTTGAATCTTGTTGTCTGTGAGCCTGTGTGCGTCAAATGCTGGATCTATAATAGGAGCTTCTAACACAACACCCTCAGTGACTCAGCAAAAAAGTCTATATTTGACCTTGACTCTTTTAAATTGATGCCGCAGTAAAAGACTGACATTAAAATCAAACTACAATGAATTGACAGGTTTCTTCGCGTAGCGGGCCTCCAGGACATTTGCATCTCTTCAAAACAGGCGGCATCTAGAATAACGGCTTTTATTCATGTTCCTTGACAAGCAAAATAGAAACCTGTTGCATTTATCAAACCAGGTTCAAAGAAACTGCGTTTGATGGGCTTACTTGTTACATAAAGGCTGCTGAAATTTAACATTTCAGCAGGATAGAATTCCAAACAAAAGACACAAGTATGTGGCTGTTGAGTTTTACATGAATAAACCAAAGCATGCACAGACACACACACACACACGTGAAGATATAGAGTGATGTGAGACCCTAGAGACTTCCTTGAATGAATCCAAAATTCACTCAATACATCATGGAGGGGCTGAATGTTAACTGCCTTTCCTTTGCTGGAAAAAGGTTCGCTGACAATAGGTAGGCCTTAGAGTTAAATATCAGAAAGGTCAAAATGTGGAAAGGGACTTAGCGAAATGTTGCAGCCTTGACAATTTAGAGCAGTTATATTCGGTCTCCAATCCTCAGGTGGCCATTTTTCTCTTTCAGAGTGCCCGGATCCGTCTCTCTTCCTGTCTCTCTGCTCTCCGTGTCTCTCTCCCTCTCTGTGTCTGTCTCCATCTCTCTCAATCCGTCTCCCAGTGTAGAGGTTAAGGAACAGCTTGGGAGGGACACATAAGAGAGAATGATGGAGAATACAGCTAAAAGGTTAAGGGGGCTGTAATCCTGCAGTAAAGGACAGCCAAAACTCACACTGCGCTTCAGCTGTTCCCAAAATGCAAAAAAACCAACAAAAAAACCCAAATAGAAGGCCGCCAAGTTGTCTTTCTTCCTGTCTACAGCTCGATAATGGAAAGAGACATGTTTAACAGAGACCACAGGCTTCTGAGTACGGTGGCAGTCGAACACACTGGGGTCTCTTACCTCTGTGCTAGGTCCCTAATGAACCATTTATTCCCCATATTAGGGAAAAAAGACTACGCTGCACAAATATCTCACAGAAACAATCAAGACTCACCAGGCTTTCGGCTTCTTAATCTTCTGTAAGACAAAACAGTCATTTAAGTATCTGCTGCACCACAGTTGAATACTGTATGCATCATTACGCATTTCCGATGCATTCGACGCCATTGAAAGCCAGAACAATGCAGGTATGTAGCCTTCAACACAGTTGGTGGCGGAAACACCCCGAGGAAAGGCAAAACACAGCCAAAGGCAGTGAAGAAGAATACTGTTAGCAAGCAAACATGGATGTAAATTTAAAATATGAAAGGAATCGGCAAACAAATGCTCTCGAAGAATGTGTTGAACCTTGGGGATGCAACACTGCGTTTTGGTGAGAAATACTAAATAACTTATTGGTTTACAAGTCAACTCCGTCGGGCGCCTTAACCTCCAGGACAAATGTCAAAAATCCCAAAGATACCAAATATATTAGCCTGAATTGCAAGAGGATTTGTATAAAATGATGCATGTTATGGTGCAGATGTGTTAGGTCAACTTAAAGGAGAAACTTAAAAGGGAAATTAGGAATCAAGAACCTGGCTCTAAGCTATCAGAGGTACCAGAATCAACAAATAAATTGTGTTTTCAATTTAACAGGGCTTTATGACCCCACAGGCTGTGTCCTCTATTCCTTTTTACTTTGGGATAAACAAGAGAGATATTGAGCCTTGGATTGATTGACTGGGGAAGCTGGACAGCACAGCGGCATGAGGCTTCTGAATAGGGACTTCCTGCTCGGGTCGCGTCTTGCATCTCAAGTTAGAGCGACTGGATCCGCCGCTGGCTGGTTACAGCCCTCACTCGCCGGGGTCACAAACAGTCCCAGATAGATGATCACAGGAGATCGTGGAAGTAATTTTCCATCAAACAAAAGCAGACATCTGCTCTGTTTTCAAATCCCACAAGCCAATATTTGTTCTCGTCTTCTTGGAAAGTTTTTTGCGCTGTCTGCTTGGCGTACAGATTTCGTCTGCAGCACTCGGGGGGTGGGGGGGATTACCATGGTGTGTTACTGACTGCCATGGCCCAGATGCGGCCTCCCCAGGATCGGGGGCTCTGTCTTTCACAGCACTCTAGCATCTGGAGGTCATCTGTTAAGATGGAAAAATGTCCAGTGTTTCTGCTCCGGGATACTTAATCTACAGGTTTGGCAACTGATCGGGCTGTTCAGTGCTGGCACCGGGCTGCGTAACACATGGCAGCCTGCTGCCTGTGAGGGCGGCATAAGAATGATATTTGAGTGGTCCAAATCAAGCCAAAATGTACAACAGATTTTGTTGCACTTATCTCAAATAGGCTCATGATGAGGGATGATTTTAGGAGTCGGGAAGTGTGATCTAAGAGTGTCTCTCGGAGGCTGTGTTATTCAGAGAGACCAGGTTGAAGGACTCTTAGGGCATTTTTTACGAGAGGGTTATGGGCGGTGAAAGAGACGTGCTGTAAAAAGCCCGTAGAAAATAATTCCGGTGTTGCATAAACAGGCGGCATGCAGCACAGTGAGTGCACCTAAATCACCGGATCCTCAGTGAGGATCTCATCAAAAGCGCGGGAATCTACAGGTCTCCTTTAAAGTCTGTCAATCAACTGAACAACATAAACCTTTTTTTAAAGATAGAGATTGACCTCATCAAGGTGCGTCCTTGCAAAATTGACCAGTCTCGAGCCAATCCAGCACTCTGAAGGCTGAATAGTGCTTAGCTGTGTCCCCCGCACATCATTATCCCTCTCTTCACTCCATTCACTCCGACTCAGAGAGGAGAAAATGACCGAGTGATAAAACCAAGGCTCCAATGTCTGCTGCTCTGTGCCCTGTGTGCGCGCGCTATAAGGCCACTTCAGAGGGAGCAGTGGGCTACGGTGCTGATCTCGCAAATTAAGACTACCTGTGAGGACATCTTGGACACACGGTGCTGCACTAGTCGAGCAGAGGGAAGGGACGGCCATTCTCTTAAATTGCATTTTAGTCAGTGCAAAGAATAATCTGTTTCCTGAACAAACAGCAATGCTCTGTTGATTTTGGAGAAGCAAAATTATCCACACAACAACCCCTAGCTCTGAATACCAACAAACCATACTGAAAATAGTTACATCTACTATAATTTTGTCTTGAGCCTTCCATTATTTTCTCAATGAGCGTGTCTTTGATCTTTTGTCAGGGCACTACTGAGCGGTTTAAGAGCTTTCCTCCTGTTTAATGGAGGAAAATGATCCACAGCTTTGATATCAGCGCATTAAGTGGCTTCACAATGCCAATAGGATGGTAATAGCACAGGATCTCCAAGGCAGATTTTCTTAATAATTTTCAATCTCTAAGTAAGATGAGAATTATTTCTTCAAAACCAAATTCTACATTATATATTGTTACCACCACTCTTCCAGATTTACACAGGCTCTACGCCGTACAAATCATGGCATACTGGCTTCTTGTCTCATGAAACAGAAGAATCACGTGTGATGCATTTTACAAGGTTCGTGGGTGACGTACAATATCTTTCTCACTTGACAAGCAACAAAGGTGCTTCACACGAGGTAAGAGGGCCATCTACTCCGCTCCTGTCACAACTGCATACTGTTGCTTGGCAACAATTACACAACCGTTTCATCAACAGTCAAATGCCCTTCTCCAGAGGAAGCACATTCATAGATATACAGAGAGGTGTTATTAGTACTGAATATGCACAGTGTGTGTAAGACTCTACTGCCGTATACAGGTCTCTAGTGAAAGCATTGCAAAACTTTAAATACAAAACATATACCCCTAATTTTATGGATCTGATTCAACTATTAAAATATTTAATAAGAGAAGTTATTCCCGATTCAGGCTGAATTTGTCAATCAACAATTTAACTTTCTTTTTTGGAAACATTTAACCAAAACCAAAGTATAAGGCAGTGCTTGCTTTGCCTAAGAAGGATAAATTATGCTTAATTTGCACTGCTAATTCAACATAAGCCAAGATTAGTAGAAGCACTTTAAAAAAACGGTGCAATTGGAAAAGAAAAAAGAGTTTCCAGCAACCTTTGTGTTTAAAGCGACAGAGGAACCATGCAACAATCATCTGTCTGCACAAAAATGTGTCACAAAACCAACATATAAAACTTGTGATAAACCGTTTTTCTCATTACCAAACATGGGGGAGATAATTGAAAAATTCCAAGTGGAAGGGGAATATTAAAGAGATATTTCTGTGTATACTCCACAACTGGGACTAATTCGGAAGCAGATGTGCCTGGAGGGCCAGTCTTTCTCTCACGAAATTGGTTTACCAAAGCAGAATTTATGAGTGCACAGAGGGAGGCCAATAGCTGCCTCTTGCCTCCATGGAAATCAACAGCAGAGGTCTCGCCGCTGAAACAGTAGCTGTACTGTGGAGCGAGATATGCTCCCTGTCTTAAGGCTACTCGTAAGGTCCTCTATTGCCGGCAGGCAGGCTGAGAGAATTAGCCTTCTGTTGTTACCAGATTTTAGCTGCTGCTAATGAAATTGGACTGTGTTTCGACGTGGCTGTGAGCATTTGCCACATGGATAGATGAAAGCTGTCATGCCAATAAAATACCCCACCGGCCCCTATTTGAACAATTGTGAATCATAAATTCAAGAGAGAGAGAGAGAGGTGGCCCTCCACTTTTTAGTGTAAATTTAATTAACGGCTGAGGCTCCGACGCTTTCAGGTGTCACGTTTGACAAATACTTCCAATAAGCTGGTGTCTTAAGTGCTGTCAGAGCCGTCTGAAACATGACTAAAGTTCTTTGCATACCGAGTCAGATTTTATCTATAGTCTTTCAAAAGCAGCACTCATGCCTCTGATTTAATCAACAGTTGTATTTGAATTAAAAAGGATTACGCTTTAAAACATGAACAAGCCATACAATCATGTAAAAAAAACAAATAAAATAGATGTTATTCTTAGACATCACGATCTATCGCTTGACAACGCCTCATTATTTATTTAGAGATTTGTTGCTCCTTGACACACACTCATAGCAAAACCACACTTCAGCATGCGCACACACACATACACACACACACACACACACACACACACACACACACACACACACACACGTGCAACACAACCACTCGCTCATCTCTCACACTGGTGTCAAGGTTGATCTGAGTCACAAGTCCCACGTTCATCCCAATTAGCACTTTGATTTGGGAGTTGACAGGTGGTGATATTGGCGGCTTTGGAAGGATGCACCCATCACTCTCCTCTCTCTTTCACTCTCTCAATTCCTCTCTTTCGTTCCGTGATGGCTTTCTTTGTCTCTTTTTCCTTTTTTTTTTTTTTTTTTTTTACATACCTCCTTTTCTACACATTTTCTTGTTGGGTTTCCTGGCACATTCCTTGGATATTCTTTTGACTGTAAAATGAATGGAAAAACTACAAAATAACAGAGAGCTCTGGAAAAGATCCCATGTGACATGCAACAACTCAGACTGAGTCAGACCCCCCCCCCCCCCCCCCCCCCCCCTTCACCTCCTCCCACCCTCCCAGTCATCATCAACAACAAGAACAACAACAGAGGACCTGTTGAGAAAGTAACTGGGGTGTTGCTGCAGAAATATTCCAAAATGGTGGAATGAATTTGCTGCATCCTGGGACACAGGAAGCCCATATTCACATGCACTTCTATTTAAGACCCATTACAGCCACACAGTAGGACGAGAGGCTACATTTCCAACGTTTTGCAGTTCGCATTATAATCTGATAAGTGAGAGTGTTATTTGACATTGCCCATTTGATTCTCAGAGCACTTAATATTTCAAGCCTTTTTTTTTTTTTTTCTGTGTGGGTCTCCTTCAAGTGGTGAAATAATGGTGGCCATTTAAAAGAGTCGACATCAAGACATCTGAAACTTGTGAGACTTTTAGTCACAGTGGAGCCCAATCTATTGTTTGCCTTTTGCACAAAACCTACTCTTGCTTTTAGCTTTGTGCAAGGACAAACCGGATGAAGCAAGGAGAGTAAAGGGTCTTACATAGGTCAGGCTGATGCCACAGGCCTCTCGTGTACCAGACAGAATATTTCACCAACCCTACAGCAGTAGATCATTCACTTATGAGGCAGGCTACTAATCGCTAATGGCTAATATCCCCAGAACAGTCAAGACAGTGAGGGTAGGAAGGTGCACCAAGTATTTCCAATCTGCTCTTTGTATGATTAGATTTCTTTTGTTTTTTTGGGGTCATATTAATACGTCATTTAGTCATCAAAAGAGGAACCTCTAACAGTGGCATGGAAAGGGAGAGTTGATGAAAAGACTAAATGAAGGATCAAGTCAAGATGGGAGGTTGAGATGATGGACACAGACACGGCATGCGCCACACAACAGGTCATGCTCCGCGCAAAAATACAGCGGTGACACAAAATTTAAGAAGAAAGACAGAGCGAGGAGGAGGCAAGAGACAAGAATAGTAGGAGAGGTTTGTTTTCATCCTGTTTACTCGACGCACTCACCATCCTCAGTTGGAACATAGATGTTTAGATAAAGACAATCCTCGTGTTGATCCTGTATGTACGTAGTAACTATATCCAGGTTGAAGGAGAACCATACAGGCATCATGATCTCTGGCACCGAGTTGTGAATATTTTGGGGGCAGACGGGAGCAAAGTGAGTGGCGTTCTTGATCCCTGACCAGGAGGAAGGAGGCTCCGGGGGCAAAAAGCGTTTTTCTCCCACTGGGGAGGCGGCGTACGGAACCCCCAGATACTGGTCCACCGGCCCAAGAATCTCACTGGGCAGGGGCACCCTCACCCCTCGGAGTTTGCCATACTGCGTGTTCACAGTGGGGTGGTAGTTCTCGCCTCTCACGGCCGGAAAGCACCAACAAAAACTTAACACCCACAAGGACACGCTGAAACCGGTGCAGCCGCCGGCACCGAGCCAGTTCTGCGAGGGGAGACGACCTCTCCTTGGAGAGAACCACATGGTCCTTGAGAGCGAGTGCGACTGTAATTGACCAACATACAAGCCGGGGCAACCCCTCCCCCCCCCACCTGCACACACCCCCGCGCACGCCCCCCCCCCCCCCCCCCCCCCCCCTACTCAGCGAAAAAAACTTCCCGCACTCAGCCCTGCAGTCCAGCCACCTGAGGGACAGTCATCAGCTGGGATACTGGAGCCCGCCGGCTTGCAGACAAGGAGAAGCAGTCACGGTTACGCGGCGAGTTCCTGATTCACCGCCCTCTCTCCGCTCGTCAGATCTTCTATCCCGTGCTGCAAGAGAAGAGGACAGGAAAATTAATGACATTTCCCTGACAGCCCACCGGTTTTGCAGCTACCATTTTTAGTCAGTCATTTTTATTGACTTGTGGAGTTCTTCCCTGGTAGGACATTAAACAGCTCACATAAACATGACAGAGCTCTCGGTGCTATCATCAATCCACATAATCAAGAAGCTGCCTTTGACTTGGCTATTGCAATTAACTGCCGGGCAACTTGTCAAGATGTTCCTAATAATGCTGATGGGACAAGTGACATGTGGCATCAACTGACAGTAGGTACTTATTCTTCAAAGGCCAACGTTTACAGTAATTGTTAAAGAATAGGTTAACAATTTTCCAAACGTCAGATGGAAGTGTGAACACTAAAACAGGTTAGCTGTAATATTGACCCATTAAAAGATCCCACTCATGCCTAGATCAAGTGACACAAATTAAGCCCAGATTTTCCACTCGCCGACAGCTTTTTGAGGCTCCCGGTTAAAAGCCCCAGATGAAATCCAAATATGCATCGGCATGTCGCTCGCACATCGGCGCTCGAGCGCTATGTGTGAACTGTTCGAAGATGCGAGCCGAGAGTGTCGCCGGTGCATCGCAGACCAAATCCAGATATCTAACATGCCGAGCATGTACAGCGACCTCACCACTTTGAGAGTCGTGTAGTGTGAACTTGGCTTAACATGCTTATAGTAAAAAAACGGCCACTTGATTCAACTAACTCAGGGTGTTACAGCCTCATCATAACCGCAGAAACACTTTAGAATGTATATTTGCAGAGAGATAGGACTGTAGATTGTGTCCACCATCACGTCCATTGAAAACACATGAGGAATGGATATTAGGACATTACGAACGAATGCTTTAAGATTATCTACATTTACAGGAAAGGCACTGCTAAAACCCATCAGCAGGAGTCATACACAAGCACATTATAACATGATAAAAAAAAAGGCATGCCCTGTTTAATTTCATGCAGCATTTCCCTTTGGTTATAGATATGAACGGGGCAGAGTTTAAATGCCATCTCCCTTCTTGCTCCTACAACAGATCGCTTTCTAGGATGAACAGGAGATGGGAGGATGTGGCTACAGGCGGCACAGGTACCACCAGCGGCAGCGCTGTAAATGCTAAACAACAGTCCCAGGGTGAACCTGTGGTGCCAGTGACAACACCTTCCCACACTGCCTGATCAATTTTCAATTTCTGTGGCTTAGTGTCCCCCTCAGCCTTGTGCGCCTACTGCAGTATTCGCTCTAATAACAATGGAGAAGAAAAGCCAGCATTTAGAGGAGGATATTGCATTCCAAAATGACTGTGTAAATGATTTATAATGTATCAGCAGCCGTTGGAGGGCCACTAACCACTGATATAAAGTAATCCCGACATTCCTGGAGGTACCGTTATCGCTATGCAGCTTTCCCATTTGCTGCAGACGTTGATCAACAGAAAGCCTGCCTGGTGGAAGTTGTACATGTAAGCCCTCCCATACAGTACATATTGTAAATACTGCGGATGTGCTCACCTTCCCTGATACTTGTGCAAATGAAATGTGTGTGGTGGACTATTCCCCAGAGACTCGGCACACCGAGCACCTGCTCAGTCATAATACATGAAAAGCCATCCATATCCAATCCAGGGACTAAAAGGCATGCATTGTTGGGGGCTGGCAAAGGCTTCGAAATGCAGAAAAGTCACATTGACAAAGTCCCTTCCGTGCTCACGAGGCTCTCTCTCGCAGGAGCGGAAAATCTAGCAGACTTTACTGCCACATCCCCAACTTCAAATACTATATGAAGTATATTGTTAAAAGATAAATATATATTGTTAAAGACATATAGCATCGACCAGTGCCACAAACCACAGCCTTTACAGCCTTTGCTAGAGGGAAATGCTTGAACCAAGACAGACCTTTATAAGAAAACACACCTACAAACACCACAAAACACAACCAGTAATATATAAACCATTTAATGCACTCTGTTGCCAGCTTATTGGCTACTTCTAACTAACTCTGTTTAATACAACAGTCCTGCAATAAATCCCACCTACATGAAGGTTATACAGTAATGTTAAGCTTTTGTTGAAACCGTTTCAGAGAAGTGTTGATTGAACTTTATGGTCATTTTTGAAGCTGTAGTTTGTTGTGCTGTTGAATTGTATTGCCTCACACTGAGAGGGTTTGCTAATAGTTTGTCCACCCATTTACATCCACTCCATTTCAATCAAAAACCTATTCTCCGTATATCAGTGACTAAATATTGCAATACAGTTCAACAGAGCCATAAACTACAGTATAACATGATCATGAAGCTGGTTCTGGAAGTAAAAGTCCCATTCATTTTTCTCATAGACAGCATGACATTGTCCAGTTAGAATCATTATTAAAAGAGATTAAGAACATATCTGGTTCTTTGATAGAAAGTCAAGGGTGGCGCTTGAAGCTTGGAGCTTGAAATTCAGTGGAAGCTAAATATTATTGCATCTGAAGCTTAGATAAATTCACTCTTAACTGTTACGACGATTGCATTTTGAATTTGCTGCTGCTCTGGTTCGTGCCCCGGAATGGCCTCCTCTCCATGGCAACCGCAGCCAAGGCTCTTGGGTATTGTAATGTTTTGACCTTTGACCTCTCCTCTATGCCAAAATGACAGACAGAGCAGGATTTCTCAGAAACAAATTTGATATAATGATGGCAATTACATACATACGTAGGATTGTTACATCATCCGGGAGAGTCCTGTGTTTCTATGTTCAGTAACACTGAGAATATAGTTTAAAACCCTTTCAATCATAAATATAACTGTATAAACTCAGTTAGAAAGTTCATTCCAATTCAGGTGAAAACTATAAAAAATATTGCACTCGCTCTTGATATATTTTTTAAATGAACATTTTCTACAAAAACAACAGAAACAAAAATTGTTTGAATATTGTTTTTGTTACAAAAACTGCAACAACAGAAATCAATTGATTTACAGCCCAAACAGCAGATCCAGTATTTTCAAGAACAAAGTTGCAGTAGTAGTATTAATTGTAGTTGAAATATAGCCAGCAATGCATGATGCCCAATTTCGTGGACCGACCATTAATCACAATTTTCCCTCAATATTAAATAAATACTTGGACATTTTAACAATTGAAATACTCATTTGTTGTTACTTGCCTTTCCCAAATGTTATTTACCTGCGAGGGTCTAGTACTATCGAAAGCTTGGCAAGAGATCATGGGTTCACGGTTTCTGGCTGTCCGTCGGCCATCTTGGCTTTGAGACATTTGTGTTGCACTTTCAACAGTTGGCCAGTGTGTGGCAGTGTCTGGAATAACGCAATGGTGTCTATTTAGCTACAGCATCAAAGCCCATGCATAAACAAGAAAACAGCTTTTGAATAGCTGTCCACTGTAGTGACCACTATGCCTGAAATGGTTTTAAAGGAAACATTTAAATGGGAACACAGAATGTGGAAGTAGATAATGCTTAATTACCACCAACTGACGTCAGGAACTTCTTCAGAGAACGCTCAAAAAGTCACTTTCAGGCAATTAAACATATGTTGATGGGAGTATTATCTAATGTGCGGACTACTTTTTCCATCTCTTACATGTTCTTTGTCCAGCACCTGGTATTTATCGTCTGGATGTGCGTTCTTTTGTAAAAAAAAAAAAATAATAAATAAACACAGAATGGGGATAAACACTTCCCGAACTACAACATTAAAGTACCTTAAAAAACAAAGAAAAAAAGGCTATGACCGCATTTCTGATCCCTCTTCAAAAACTGTTTCAACAGGAATTTAAACTTCTCATCACAGTTGACCATGACTGTTCCACGTATTAATCCCGCGAGCAAGGAGACACAAGATTTTCAATTTCAAGTTTAACTGAGACCATTCATGTTTAGAGCTGCACACACAGCAGCAGAATAAGTGTAATAACACTAATTCTTGTTGAGATAAACTACATCAGGTCAAACTTTTTAATCAGGACACAGCAAGGACATAGGACAGTGTGATGGAGTGTGTGTGTGTGTGTTTAGAGGACACGCAGCACAGAGGACTTCATCTGTCTCCCCTCCAACAGCATCTCAGAGGCCCTCTCTGCTTTGATCTCTCTACCTGCTGAAGCACTGCCAAGGGAGGAACAGAGAGAGAGAGAGAGAGAGGGAGAGAGAGAGAGAGAGAGAGAGAGGGAGCGATTGCATGAGTTCTCCCTCATCATCACAGAAATATTGATCGTCTCATCACCGTGGCCTTGCAGCCCATAATAAATACAACTGGGGTGATGGAGGCAGGGGGAGGAGAGAAGGAGGAGAGAGGGGTGCCGAGTCCAAGGGAGGTTATTAGCCCTTAATGCCAGACGGCACTCCACCAAGTACAAGCACAATCCTCCCCAATTCTCCAGACCCTGATTAACAGGACATGTTAGATTCTGCCAGTCCAATCCCTATTCATCAATATTCAAAAAGATGCCATTGGTACAACATGTGAGTTGTCCCCATACAGATCCCATATTTAGAAGAAAATACATAAGACTTCATTCCTCTTTATTTTGGTCTGAGCCCACAGCCGTGTACGCTTATTGTAGAAGACCCTTTGTTCTCCCGCAGCGGCGAGATCTCTGCATCGCAATAAAAGTCTGAGCACAGAGCCAAATGTACTCCTACGCCCTGACATCCCTTAGAGGGAGGCTGAATGGGCTCTGTTAAAAAAA